GAATGGGATGGGGAGAGAGAGTGAGAGAATGGGATGGGGAGAGAGACTGGAGAGAATGAAATGGGGAGAGAAAGACTGATGGAGAGAATGAAATGGGGAGAGAGAGACTGATGGAGAGAATGGGATGGGGAGAGAGACATTGATGGAGAGAATGGGATAGGGAGAGAGAGAGAGAGACTGATAAATAGAATGGGATGGGGAGAGAGAGAGACTGGAGAGAATGGGATGGGGAGAGAGAGAGACCGATAGAGACTGGTGTAGAGAATGGGAAGGAGAGGGAGAGAGAGAGAGACTGATGGGGAGAGAGAGAGGGGAACTGATGAAGGGATGCTGGCAGCGAGAGTGAGCATGTAATTGCTTTAGGACAGAGAGAGGCAGGAGATAGAGGGAGCAAGGCAGTGATGATTTTCTGGAGGAGGAGGGTAGAAGCTGATGGGGAGGTGGAGTAGGGAGGAGGAGGCAGCTCTCGGCTCATTTTCAATGCAAGAGAAGCTACTGCAGAGTCTACACACAAAGAGCTGAGCTTGGAGCCAGCAGGACACTATATACAGGTATAGCACAGGCTCCACACCAAAGGACACACTATATACAGGTATAGCACAGGCTCTGCACCGCAGGACACACTATATACCGGTATATCACAGGCTCTGCACCACAGGACACTATATATACAGGTATATCACAGGCTCTGCACCGCAGGACACTATATATACAGGTATATCACAGGCTCTGCACCGCAGGACACTATATATACAGGTATATCAAAGGCTCTGCACTGCAGGATACTATATACTGGTAAAGCACAGGCTCTGCACCGCAGGACACTATATACTGGTATATCACAGGCTCTGCAGAGCAGGACACTATATACAGGTATATCACAGCGTCTGCAGAGCAGCACCGACTGACACACACATATACAGGTATATCACAGGCTCTGACTCATAGTATAGATGGAATACACACTATAAGCACACACACCCACATCAGCGCCTTCCTAGCACAGTACCTACAGTACAAGTCAGCTCTGCAGATCTTTTCGGGGTATAATCTGCTTCATGCACATTGTAGAACTACAGCACAATATTAATCTGTCTCCTTTATAGCACCCACACCCCAACTGCTGTAATCACTCACCCTGCCATACACCCATCATCCAGGGACACCACACAGACACATCCACAGCTGGAACATCCAAGGACAATGCTGCCAATTTCCAGGATGGATTTACAGCAGACCCTACTGCTTGGCCTGGAGGCTGACGGGGGGCACTGCGGAATAAGTGGACCCTTCCTGTGAGCATGGTAAGGAGCATTCTCTCTGCAAAAGGGGGTGTGTTCATTTAGCTCGTCCCTGTCCTGCTCTGTGTAGCTGAACCCCTTTTTTTACTGTCATCCCTTAAATCATGTAGCACAAACCTGTTCCGTAGCATTGTACAAGGGGCAAAGCCACAGAATGACATAGAGGCATTGTGACCAATGGAAGGTGGGGGAGGTTGTTGCTAAGAGCTTACAATCTAAATGTACTGATCAAGGTGCCTTTGAGGTAACTCTACCTGTGTGTAGGTAGGTCAGGAAGCATTGCATGTGGGTACCTATATACTGTCACCTGGGAATATCCTGACCTTTATTGTAATGACAATAAGGGTGACCGGGCTGTGACAGCCGCAGCCTCTGAGCTATTGTTCATGTCACATGAGCTGCAGACATAGGTTTAATGGAGCCTTGAACTGGTCTGGCTGGTGACAAGATCAGGCCTTTTACAGCAATATTTGTTGAAAATGTATTTTGTTTTGTCTGAAACCTCATGTCTTTGTAGAGAGACTTGGAGGGGAAATCTGCCAATAATAAGCCATCACAAATCGATATATTGATCCATGCATATAGTGTCTGTGGAAATTATTCATCCATTTATCATTTATATAGCGCCAACAAATTCCATAGCGCTTTACAATGGGATTCTGCATCAAATGGCCAATTCTGTGCCAAAAAGAAAAAAAAATCTGGCAATCTTCACTGTTCCAATACTATATTTCTTTCTTAAGAGAAATATTATTTTTGGCAGCAGTTTGAAATATCTTTATTTCTTATCTAGGACAATAAATATCTTTATTTCTTATCTTATCTTTTTCTGGAATTCACATAATTGAATAAAACACTGAAAATCACCTATAACTTGTGTTAATGTTTTTCCCATGAGATGTTTTGTGTTCTCTGGAGCCCTGGAAGGGACAGGGTAAATATTTTCTTTAAATCAGTGCATGCGCCATCAATCATTCCACCACCATGGAGTCCAGACAGGAATAACTATCTCATGGGCACCATCTACTAAATCATGCTCATTATATAGTTCAGCATTTGCACGATTTAAAAAACAACAACACATATTTACCTTGCCACCTCTGGGACTCTTTAGTTTTCTTTTAAATTTGTGTTAAAAATTTAACAAATGACATAAACCACTTCAGACAAGGCACACACAGGATACACAATATAAATAAAAAAGATGACATAGAAACATTGTTTCATTTCTCCTCTACTGTGTCTGCTCTCAATGATTGACAGGGAGTTAACAATGAAACAATGATTGACAGGGAGCTAAGATGGAGGTGGCTCTCTCTATACTGACCGCCAGATGTAAAGGGCGGAGCTTATAACAATGATTGACAGGGAGCTAAGATGGAGGTGGCTCTCTCTATACTGACTGCCAAGTGTAACGGACGGAGCTTATAACAATGATTGACAGGGAACTAAGATGGAGGTGGCTCTCTCTATACTGACTGCCAGGTGTAAAGGGCGGAGCTTATAACAATGATTGACAGGGAGCTAAGATGGAGGCGGCTCTCTCTATACTGACTGCCAGGTGTAATGGGTGGAGCTTATAACAATGATTGACAGGGAGCTAAGATGGAGCCGGCTCTCTCTATACTGACTGCCAGGTTAAAGGGCGGAGCTTATAACAATGATTGACAGGGAGCTAAGATGGAGGTGGCTCTCTCTATACTGACTGCCAGGTGTAAAGGGCGGAGCTTATAACAATGATTGACAGGGAGCTAAGATGGAGGTGGCTCTCTATACTGACTGCCAGGTGTAAAGGGCGGAGCTTATAACAATGATTGACAGGAAGCTAAGATGGAGGTGGCTCTCTCTATGCTGACTGCCAGGTGTAAAGGGCGGAGCTTATAACAATGATTGACAGGGAGCTAAGATGGAAGCGTCCTGTTGCAGGATAAAGAGCTGTGGGTTCCTACACTGAATGTTATTTTTCACATCTCACAAATACATATTTGTAAATTATATGGTTGAGTAAATAGAATATAAAAATCCCAGTGTGACTGTTTCCCTGCAGTTGTGGAATTTATTTTCCCTGCTTCGGATTGTTGCAAATGTTTTACAAACTACTCTCTGTGCTGGGAGCATAGACAATGTATCTCCAGCACTGTCTGTGAACAATCTGTTGCTCCCACGGGTATTTTCTAAGTATCTCCACTGTTTTCCCAGTAAAGTCTCCCTATTCTAAGCCCTGTCTCTCCTATCTCTCTTCTCCCAAAACATCTGTCTGTCTAATACCTATCTACCTTTTCATCTATTATCTAACTATCTGTCTATATGTCCATCTATCTGTTTATCTATCTAACTGTTCATCTCTCTCTATCCATCAATCTACCCATCCTTTGGACAGAGGTTTAATCACAGGTACTTTGATTGTGGCATTTGGTGTGATGGCAACGTTACCCATCTTTGTGGCAAAATTTGGAAGAGTGAGTGTACTTTGTTGTTTGCATTCAGTGTTCTTAAAGGTTGAGCTTGGAGACTTTATTTCCTGTTCAAGTCAGCTACTATATCACAAAGAAATCCATGTTATAGTAAGTTAAACACTCTGTATCTCCTGATAGATTGTAAAGCCAAGTAGACCGAGCTCTGACAAACACTGTGCCCTTATCCCGTTGGGTATCAAAGTGCTGTGAATATAAATGGTCTCCTGGAGCTCAGTGCCAGACACAGTTACATAGTCCATCAAGGTCGACCATTCACATAGCTCTCGTTCTGCTGTTGATCCAAAAGAAGGGAAATCCAATTTGCAGCAATTTTCAAATGTCCATTAAAAGGTAAAATTCTCTCCTTGCCCACATAATAACATCCAGATTTCTCCTTGCATTGAAGTGTTCAACTGAGATCAGGCAACTTACATTGGGATATCTTGTACAATGTTATCTATACTTTGCAAAATCCAAATCTCCAGCAAATGTATAGATTAAATGAGCACTTGAGTTATGACTATTTCTAGGGCTTTCAATTTGTTGCGCACTATTCCGCCCTATACATTGTTTTCTGTTCATTCCCAGAATGCTTTGCTTGCCGTTTCGCACTGACCCCCATAGCTGTGCTTTATTTGAGTAAATGCAAGGATCTTCAATACTAAGTAAAAACACGTTGTTTCCATTGCTTGGTTTATAGGCAGCATAGGCATATAAAGTGGCATTCCTACATAACAGGCCCAGTTTACCATTGATTTATTAGGCTTCCTTACACTTTATGCTTTATTTAGAGCTGATCGAATACGTGTTCAGCTATAGAACCGTAGGGGTTTATTTGCTTAATCAGGAACTCTAGAGGAATTGATGAAGAAATGTACATTTAGCAGCAAAGTTTCCAATATGACCTTTATGTTATAAAACGTACAATTTCCACATTTCACTAAATATGTTTATTCCAAAATCCCTATAAATAAAAATCATTTTGATCAATCTGTCCAGGGTTTAACTCTGGGGTCCTATTCAATGAATCCCGGACAAATTGACTTATTTGGGTGTTGATTAAAAGGAATTTGGTTCGGACTAACCCGTTGAAACTAATTTTGCACAAGTCTAATTTGTAGAATAAAGAATAGATCACTTACCGTTACATCAGTTGGATCTACAAGGGTTCTTCTTTTATGAAAATGAGTGCTCATTGTTTACGGTATGTTTTACAATAGACGATCACAGAAAGGTTTTAGAATTACATTTAGCGTTAATATTCTTAAAGTGATGATGGAACATTTCATTCCCTTAGCAGTTTGCTACAACACTATTTTTATATTTATAAAGTTTCCACATTACTGCACAATCTTTGGCACTCAGCCGATTAATGAGATTCTACGATACTGTATTATTTGTATTTTAATCCTTTTTTTGTTTTTGCGTGCATGCATAATTAACCAGACTTGAATTGGGGTGAAATTTTAAATCGAAATTTCTAAATTAAGGCAAACAGATAGAAGTTGGCTATATTTTGCAAGCTTGTTTTTCAATTCATTATATTTCACGATTTAGTTAAGACCCTAAATGTCAGCATACATTATCATCGTATAAGAATATTAAGTAGGATGACCTATTTATTTTGGGTACTGGGCAGAAAAGGAATAGAAAAATAAATATTTAAACTGTCTTAAAATTGCCTTAAAAAGAAGTTCTATCATATTAAATTATACTCCGAGAATACAATCTGGTTAAACTGACTGCACTGCCCTTTAGGGACACTTAAAGAACACTACATTCTCCTGGGTTGCTGTGAACATTACCATCCAGCACATAAGCTACCACCCATATTAATGAGCTCGAAGCTTAGTCTAGTCATTACTGATATTGGAGCGTGGCTGTCTACCATCCTCAGGTTACAGGTAAACAGGTCCTAGTGTTACAGAGATCAGAGTGCAGCGCACGATGACAGAATTAAAACAAATACAGGCAGGGGAATCGTGTTAGATGGTTTAAAGTATGAATTGGCAGGAAATCAAAATGAATTTACCATTTTAAGCCAAAGTAGCTAAGTTAGAACATTTCTCAAAGTCAGCTATGTTTTTTTCTTAGCCGGCTTAAAATTTTCAATTAACCTCTTTCATTAAAATATAGAATTAAAGTGAATTAAAATTTGCAAAACTTTTGATAAAATAGCCAAATGATAACTGTAGCTGAGTTAGACTGTGTTTCCGAATGAACTATTTTTATTACATTTTGTAATCAGTCGGGCAGTGTTTAGTGAATAACTCTTAAAATAAAAAGGAATTGTAGTGATAAGCGCTCCCCTTACAATTGAAAGAATTGCATAGTATTTCAGTGTCAGTCAGTGATGTCATCAAGGACACAGATCAATAGGTGGCGATTAGATCCCGCGGCTGATTCACTGAAATAAACATACTCAGCAATGGAACGGTGTGAAGGCTTTAACGGAAAAAAATCCTTGTGTTTCTTGGTTTATGTTGTGAAAAAGCATATTAGGAATGTTTAATCCCATGGCCTTTAGCTGAAAAATACTATAGAGCAA